CACCAGTGTGTAGCTTTCGCTTAAATTATACACATGGCCAAGGTATTCGTCATGTGTCAGGTTGCATCTCTGGAGCAGGTCTGACAAGTCCCTAAATGACTGAGTTGGGTCAGAGAGTAAGTCCCTAAGGGGCTTTAGCTTTTCTTTGGCCTCCATTTGCCTTAGGGCCAGACTTTTTTTTCTCTCACCTTTTTTCTGGGCCTCTCCACCGGAACCGGGTAGCTCTTCCTCGGCCTCCTCACCGTCAGACTCACCTTGTCTGCTGGTGCTGGGTTGCTCCTCACCCAGCCCCGGCTGCTCCTCCTGGCACGCTCTACTGGTGCTGGGCTGCTCATCACCCAGCACCTCAACATCCCCACACAACTGCCCCTCATCATCTAACATCTCCCCATCATTAAGAAAGGCCTCTACATCAGCAACAGTTGGGAACGTTATGGTGGTCTTGTCTACAGGCAACTTTGGGAACCCGAACCTGCAGACCACGTTCCCCCTCTTGCATGACTTTGAATGGCTCCTGCTGTGGATCTGGACCTCAGACACGATCTGGTGGAGCTCAGGATCGGCGTCTGGGTCAGGCATCTCACAGCTTATATATCGGTCAATAAATTCGTAAACCTCTTTCTCTGAGCCTTCTTCCAATTCAGGGGCATCCTTGACCCAAACTAACATATGAATGTGAGGACTCCCTCTAGCCTGAAACTCTACCCTGTAGAAAAAATCCTCCACCTCACCGATCGGCTGAGCTGGCGACAGAATCAGGTGATTCATGAGCGCGTCGACTCTTTTTTCAAACAGTCTCATGACTGTGACTGGATTGCTCCTGAGGATGTCACACTTGGCATTCCAGTCAAGCTGAGAGAAGTCGACCTGCTCACCCTGTTGAGCCTTGATAGCCTCGATGACCTCAGGCCACCTCATCTCAGCAGCAGAGAAAGTCAGGAAAAAGGTCGGTTTGCCTAACTGCCGCACCATGGCGTGGAGATCTTTAAGAGCTTTCTCCCAATAAGCCGGCGTTCCTCTCAGTGGTCTCATAAACCTAGTAGCATCTCTATTGCTAATGAGCTTTTCCACCTCTACCTTATCTTGGAGCATCCTGTTTGAAATGACGCGTCCCTCTTTATTAACCGGCTTGCTTTTACGCAGCTGAATCGACATGCTATTAGTAGCAAT